GACTTTATTTCAGCGAGGGAGAGAGGAGAGAGACGACCAGCGATGGGGTTCAGAACACAAAAGCACAATTAAAAAAACGGGGGAGTCATGACACTTTCCCCTCGTTCATATTAACCTGGCACCGCCCCCCCCTCACTGCCCCCCCCCCGACTTCTGCTCTCCTTTTGGGATGTTCTATATTCCACTTATGCTCTCATAGCAAGAGTTCACAGTCAACGATTTTTAAACCTCACAAAAAAGAATTTGCATCATCCACTTTGAACAGAAAAGCGAGGCTGCAGTCGACATGCTAATACAAAGACATGTGCAGTGAGGACCAAAAAAGATCCGTGTCCATCTCGGCCTTCCAGTATATCTGAGCACTTGTCCAGTCAAGTTATTCAGTGACTGCATTTTTTTCTCCAGATGGTAGCTGTTGCCAAAAGTGTCCCCGCTGGTGCAGTGTAGGAGGGACATGACACAGGGGGCCACCTGATCTGCAGGTTACCTAGAAGAGGGGCTACTGCACTCAGAGGCGGGGCAACAGAACTGATGGGCGATGTCATCATCTTCCACTTCTCTGAGAGAGATACAGGGATGGGTAGAGAGAGACAGGCAGGAAGTGTGTGAGACAGGAATACAGGGTGGATAAGAGATAACAGGGGAACAGAGAGAAAGAAATAGGATGAGCTGAAGGTAATGAAGGTACAGGGAAGTAAGATGAGGGACATAAGGTTTGCCGGAGAGTATTTTGATTTGTTAAGGCATTATAGGGCCTTGTGTAATGTATACCCTTACACTCAATGCTAATTACATTTGATAACAACCAATTGTATATAGTATTTTAATTGTGAAGGCCTATTCTTATTGACTTTGTTGCAAAACTGTAAAATATATACTTTTAAATGAATAATTAAACATTTTCAGGTAACGGCCACATTTTGAGATTTCTGTAGCTTTGATTAGACGAGTAACAAGATTGCATTAATCTGAAGACAGCTCAAATATTAAACTTGATTTAAAGACATGTATTACACTAACTGTCCACCAGATGTCAGGCTTGGAATATGAGGTAGAGTCTTAAAATGTGAAACAATACTTCATCGTTTTATTGGACGACCACTTAACATTTTGAAACGAAAAAACAGCTTTTAAAAAGATGCTATATTAATATCACTGAATATTATGTAAAATGATCTATATTATATATTGTATCTGAATACCCAAATATATCAGCTTTTATATATAAATATATATGAATTTTAAGTCAAGACCAGATTCCATGACATACCTTTAGTGCTTTAATGAATAAAACTTAAAAGATGCATGATGACATGTTGGGTAGGGGCCCTCCTGGGATTTGAACATTATGTATTTCCTTATTTAAAATAATATTTCACCTGGGTGCACAGCTAATATAGTGGGACTGTCTGTGTGTGAGTGCTAGTTGGTGTGCAAGAGACAGAGAAGAACAAAAAAAGGAAAAAATGACAAATATTGACAGCAGCAGAGAACTGAACAGGAACTGAAAAAGAACTGAGTGAAAAGAGGCAGCATGTGCAAAGGTTTAGTGTCCAGTATTCAGACACATGTATCAGAGCATGTGAGCGAAGTGGAGCGGAGTGTGAGCGAGGAGAGGAGCGGAGTGTGAGCGAAGTGGAGCGGAGTGTGAGCGAGGAGCGGAGTGGAGTGTGAGCGAGGAGCGGAGCGGGCGGAATTTGGTCAGAGCGCGGAGCGGTTTTTTAATTAAGGCTGGAGCGGTCACTGTCTCGCTCCAATTTTGCTCCGATACCGCTCACACTACAACACTGAGGCGTGCCTAAATCTACCCAGAATTCATCTGTACAATTATCAAGACTGTTACACAAATTGGCTGTGATGGAATTCGCAAAGTATTTCACAAAGGAACTAGCTGATAGACCATACAAGTTTAATTTTCTTATCAAACGTATAGATGACAATAATGTAGAGCAAGAACAACAATGTGGTGAAACTGTTTCAGTGAGTAAAGATTCACTTTGGAAGTGTGCTACGCGAACAGGCTTAAGCCAGAGCAAAACGTGAGCAAGTTTTATATGGTTGTAGCATATCAAGTCTATAAAGTAAATAAAAATATAAAAGCCTATAAAGTAAATATCGGTAATCAAATAAATTAGTTTTGTCATTCAAAGTAGGTCTAATAGATTTTTTTAATTTCACGTAAACGCTTACATGCTCTAACATGTATGCACATGGGCTGATGCTCTATTTGTTTCATCACCAGAGTGGATGTGCAGCAGATCAGTATGTATGGGGTGGGGTTTAGCTCAGCAGTTTCAGTAGCAGTGTGTATGTCTGGAAGGTTTTAGGTGTAGCAGAAAGTCACATCACTGGGGAGCCCCTGGGTAAGGCCCTTAACCCAAACTGCTCCGAAGGAAGCTCATTGCTTTCCTCATATCACTAAATATGTAAATAGGTGTGTGAATATCTGACTCGTTGAGGTTTGTTTGGGTCACGTAAATGGGCACCCTGTACAGTGCAGTGTTTCAAGCTGCAGAGAGGGGATAACTGTACTGGCTGCTGTGGCGCCACGCAGGTGGGCAGCAATCTGTGGCCTGTGTGGGTGTGCAGCATCACTGGGCACAGTGCGAATCACATGGGGGCCTCGGTTACACAAAGCAGTGCCTGTGTGGGTGTGCAGCATCACTGGGCGCAGTGCGAATCACATGGGGGCCTCGGTTACACAAAGCAGTGCCTGTGTGGGTGTGCAGCATCACTGGGCGCAGTGCGAATCACATGGGGGCCTCGGTTACACAAAGCAGTGCCTGTGTGG